CGCCTCTTGGGCCCAGATAATGAATTTTTACATTGGGTTTGGACAATTGAGTTTTCACCTTAACATGGCCTCCGATTGTATAAAACCAATACAGGAGGCATCGCGCGCGCGTGCGGGTGACCCGGCACCGCGCGGGTCACCAGCGCGCCCGCGCTTGCCTCGCCCATTGTATTGTGTTTTGTATATTTGACGTGGGCATGGCCGTTTCTTGGGCCCAGAGAATGAATATTTACATTGGGTTTTGATCATTGAGTTTTCATATTAACATGGCCTCCGATTTTATAAAACCAATACAGGAGGCATCGCGCACGCGCGCGGGTGACCCGGCACCGCGCGGGTCACCAGCGCGCCCGCGCGCCTCGCATATTGTATTGTGTTTTCCATATTTGACGTTGGCATGGCCGCCTCTTGGGCCCAGAGAGTGAATATTTACATTGGGTTTTGATCATTGAGTTTTCAACCTAACATGGCCTCCGATTGATCGCGCGCGCGCGCGGGTGACCCGGCACCGCGCGGGTCACCAGCGCGCCCGCGCGCTTCGCATATTGTATTGGTTTGTTTATTTTCCACATTTATATGGCCGCCTCTTGGGCCCAGAGAATGAATTTTCACATTGGGTTTCGACAATTGAGTTTTCACCTTAACATGGCCTCCGATGGAATAAAACCAATACAGGATGCATCGCGCGCGCGGGTGACCCGGCCCCGCGCGGGTCACCAGCGCGCGCGCGCCTCGCATATTGTATTGGTTGTATATATTCCACGCTTATGTGGCAGCCTCTTGGGCCCAGATAGTGAATATTTACATTGGGTTTTGACCATTGAGTTTTGAACTTAACATGGCCTCCGATGGTATAAAACAATTACACGATGCATCGGGAGCCCCGTGACCACGTGGATCCGTCTTGGAGCGTCTTGTACGCATGTTGGGAGCTATATTGAGTCATCGAAGGCTATATTGAGCGATCTTCGGGGTCACCTTGAGCTCTCTTGGGCCCTCTTGGCGACATCTTAGGCCATCTTCGGTGACCCAGCGACCCGCGAAACGCCCCTTCCAGGCCCAGGGCGAGGGGGTAGGGGGAGGGGTAAACCCCTCCCCCAAGGGGAAGAAGGGGGTTGAGGACAGAGAGGGCTCTTTAAACCACTCACGCCCAAAGGGCTGGTGGGATTTTTATATTGTGTTTTGGCCATTGCGTGCGCTGCAGAGATGTGTGTGCATGGTGAAGGCCACGTTGGCTTTTCTCGGGCCGACGTCTCCATGTTGCGACGACGTCTCAGGCGAAACGGCCCCAAGCGGCCCTGCAAAGGCACCAAGGGTGAAGCAGAATGGCTTCCCCATCCTTCCCACAGTCTATCTTAGGAGTTCTCCGGAAACAAACGAATTGTTGACGCTTCGCGTATCCCCACCAGCCCATCCAGAAACGATGCTCAGGGGAGTTAAGGTGATCAGGGAAGTCGGGGAGCATGCAGAATAACAAAGGGCGGGGGAAGCTGTCACAGACCCCGAGAGGGGGAGGATGGAAGAGGAGTCGTCGTCGTCGTCGTCGGAGGAGGAGGAGGAGGGGGAAGAGGAGGAGGAGGAGGAGGAGGAGGAGAACGGAGAAGGAGGAAGAATCGGAGGAGGAGGAGGAGGAGGGGAAGGAGCTTCTGGGGGGTCTTTTGAGGGCCTCTTGGAGGGCTTTTTGGGCGCCTTGGGGCATCTTGGGCGCCTCTTGGGACCCTCTTGAGGCGCTCCGGGGAGCCTTCGGGGCGCTTTTGGGGCCATCTTGGAGGGAGTCGATCAAACAAGAGGGGGGGTTCAATTAGCGCCCCCCCTCGGAAGCCCCTAAAATCGCCTCTTGGACCCCTCTTGGAACGCTCTTGGAGTGCTCTTGGGCGCTCTTGGGGCCGTCTTGGGGCTCTTTGGGGGCTCTCTTGGGGCCCTCTTGGGCCATCTTGGAGCCATCTCCAGGCCTCGGATAGCCATCGGAAGCGAAAAGGCGAGAAAGCAAAAATCATTGATTTTCCTTAGGTTTTGGGACGATTTTGGCCTCTTCGGGGCCTCCTTGGGGAGCTGTTTGGACACTTGGAGTTATCTTGGGGCCGTCTTTGGGCTTCTTGGAACCATCTTAGGAGCCATCTCGAGCGATCTTGCGCTATCTTGAGCCATCTTGGAGCTCATCTTGGGTTCTCTGAGGCGCTCTTGGAGCCGTCTTGGGCCATCTGGGACGCTCTAACTACCCGCCGCCCCCCCCGTCCAGGTCCAGGGGAGGGGGTAGGGGGAGGGGTAAACCCCTCCCCAAGGGGGAAGAGGGAGGGGTGGAAGAGGATCTGCTCTAGACCACCTACGCCCAGAGGGCTGGTGGGACTGTCTATCTGTCGCGGCCTCGCCGGTCGCTGTCGCACCGTCGGCGAACGTGCTTGGTTACGTACTGTGCATGTGTCTGGCCACCCGCCGTCGCCGTCGCACCGAAAAAATTGCGCGCCACACATGGTTGAACTTCACTGTCCACGGCGCGCCCATCGCACATCGCACAACTTTTTACAATAACTTCTCAATAGTTCCGTGCGGCGGACATATCGTTTTTGCGCATCTGTCCCCGACGGACCCGTCGCCGCCGCATCGGGGTGATCATCGTTGGGGGAACCCCCTCATGGTTCCTGCAGGGCAAGGGTCGCGTTAACCCGGGTTTGGGTGCAGGATCCCGCAGGATCTTGCATGATGCTTCGCATTGAGCCAGGTTTGGGTGCAGGATTTTGCAGGATCCTGCAGGGTTTGACTGACCCGGATCTGGATTGACCCGGGTCAGAAGATTCCCGACCGGGCGCCTGGCGTTGCTTGCGTCGCAACGTGTGGCGAAGTTCGTGGAGGGTTTAAGCTGGGCCTGTCCCTCTGCAGGAGGAATATTCAGAAATGGTAAAAAAATAGTCAGGGGACGATGGTTCGACGATTTTTGGACCATTTTGGAGTTTTTTTTATTCTCTTCAGTTTTTGTCAAAATTCCGCCTGTAGGGGGACACGCCCGACCTAACGGAAGGTGTAGCTGGTACCCTTGATTGGTTCAGTGGCGCATCGGGGGTACAGTCGGGGCGCTGAAGAAGGAACCCTTTTCGTTGGGGAGGGGCTCCATGTTCCTTCATTGTTCCACAATTTGCCTTGGGTTTCCCTTACGTTTTCGATGGGAAGTCGAAGTTTAACTTATGAAAGAAAGGGGCTTTGTTCCTTATTTAGGGTTCCTTAGGTCAACGCCTCGATTGTACACCAGCAGTGGCGCACCAGGGTTGCAGCAACAGTTGCGCACCAGGGTTGCAGCACCAGGTGCAGTGCATGTGGCGCGTCAGGGTCACGCTCGAGTCTGATTGGTAGGCCGGCCCTTCCCAGTCATGTGTTCTGTGTTCTGCGCCCGTGTCCTCTGCAATTCCTGGGGAAACGGGGCACCCGGAAGGGCCCTGCGTCCTCTCGCCCGGCCTCTCCAGTAGAGCCCGACCGCGCAGGAAGGATAGTTTCCAGGCCAAGGACCTCGGCCGTGGGGACCCTGGCTTGCTCGGTGACTGGCACGGGTGCGGTCCCCTCCGACCACCTTTTTTTCTCAGGCGAGCTGTCGGGTCTCGGAGACCCGAAGCGTCAGATGCGGCCGCTACAGCAGCAGCAGCAGCAGCAGCAGCAGCAGCAGCAGCAGCAGCAGCAGCAGCCACAGGAGCAAGAAAGGCGCGCCTTGCGCAGGACAGCAGGAGCTCGCGGCGGCATCACGACGGTCACCACAACCGGCTCGCGAAAGAGAAGGCGGACGCAAGACGAGAGACCATTCCGGAGCTCGCGGCGGCATCACGACAGTCGCCACCACCAGCCACGAAAGAGAAGGCGGACGCATGACGAGAGACCACTCAATCCCCCCCCTCCTCAAGCCCACTGCCCTCCTAACTTCAACAACCCGCAGACGCTGGAGAACGAGCGAAAGACCATGCGCCTCGCGCTCACGAGGTCCATCGGCAGAGGCACTCCAGGGCTCAGCGGCGGGCGCCAAGCAACGCTGAACTGGGCGACAGAGTAGAGCCAACCCGCATGGCATGAGGATGGGCAATTTTCCCAAAGGCACCCTTTGCAACCATGCCTCCTCGGTCCATCCTCGGCCACTTTCGTTGGCCGCGCCCCGCCCGAGAAGCTTCGACACGGGCGTCCTACGCCCTCGTACGCTCATCGCGCACCCTTCGATGCGGGTTGACTGTAGACAGTGACCGGCTCACGTCCACAGCGCTCACAAGAGGCGCTGTGCATGGCCGAAGTTGAAGAGCGCAAGCTCGTGTCCTGGCACGGACCGCGACGTCAGGACCAACACATCCTGGCACGGGCCGCGTCGTTGCGACAGGCCTCCCGGAACGGGCCGCGCCGCAGCACCAGCGACCACGGGCGTTGGAGCTCGGACGAGACGAGATAGGACAATGTCGGGCCGAACGAAAGGGGGGGATAGGGAAAGGAGGGGGCTACGAAATCTGCTGCGTGCAGCTGGTTTCGGCCCCGCCGCCGGGCCCATCCCTCGATACATGGGCGCCTCCCGGCGCCAGGAGGCGCTGGGAAAATTAGCTACGTGAGCTGATTCTCTACCATATCCTTTGCTATCCCCCCCCCTTCGTTCCCCCCGACAATGGGAAATGGTGGAGCCAGAGAGGGAGAGATCGACAACCTAGCCAAGAACGGCGTGCATCTCAACACCCCAGGACCTCCAGAGATCTAGGCATCCTAGATGGGGTCGGAGTAGATGGGGTCGGAGGATCGCGCCGCATCACCGATGCATCGGCGATGCATCAGCGATGCGGCTCGATGTGGGGCCCGATTCTGTCCACGCCGATGTATCGCCGATGCGTCGCCGATGCATCGGCGATGCGGCGCGATCCTTGGACCCCATCTACTCGGACCCCATTTTGGGAGGCCTTCCGACAGACCCCTCCTCCTCCTCCTCCTCCTCCTCCTCCTCCAACAAGGCCATCCTAGGAGAGTTCTGGAAGAAGGTGGTGTGCCTGGAGGACCCAGAGATGCTGGGCACGTGCGTCAAACACTACCAGGCGAAGACGAACAAACAGCCGAAGCAGAGCAAGGAGAAAGTGCGGCTGATCTTTTCCTTCGACTTGCACGTGCCCGACTTGCGGGCCGTACGGGAGGTCCTGATCAAGGAGATCAAGAGGGAGGGGGGCCAGCGCAAGCTGGGGGTAGCACCCAGGGGCCCGCTGCAGCGAGGCCTCACGAAGCTAGTCTACACGAAGAGCTGAGAGAAGAGGCGCCGATCCTCGAGTTGGTGCCAGATGAGGAAGACACAGCGCCACGACGGTACATTAGACTAATGCCAGCAGTTTTGAGCCGAGAGACACTCTCGGCCCCTCCAGTTTTTAGAGACAGCGCCCGCTATAGGGATCTGGTGGCAGCAGGTAGACTGCCGCCAAGACGTGAGCCCAGCCAGCCTGCTCCTGTCCTCCGTTCCAACTTCGACTCGACCCTTCTCACTCCTCGCCCAGACCCACCACGTCCGCAGAAGGGCAAGGGCAGGGGGCGTAAAGGAAAATTATCGGAGCCTAGACTACACTCAGGCGGCACACCTGTCGGAAGCGAGGCAATCTAAATGTTTTGTCTACGCTGACTGCACGCGAACGCCTGGCGGGATATTTTGGCCAAGCCTCCGCTCGGAGGTAAACAGCAGAGCGCTGTGTAGCAATTTCGACTCTCGAGTGCCCGCAGGCGGCCGGCCTGACCGAGTGCGGGTGTGGCCTGCCTGCAGGGCCAATGCGTATGTCTACGCTGACTGCACGCGAACGCCTGGCGGGATATTTTGGCCAAGCCTCCGCTCGGAGGTAAACAGCAGAGCACTGTGTAGCAATTTCGACTCTCGAGTGCCCGCAGGCGGCCAGCCTGACCGAGTGCGGGAGTGGCCTGCCTGCAGGGCCAATGCGTATTTTGTGACGCTTGCGCACCTGTGCGAGTGATGGGGCTTCCCAGATAGACCCAGATGTCAGACTGCTATAGTACACTCTGCAAGGTAGTGTAGCTGCAAGGTCGTGACGACACGTTTGGGTCCGATTCATCAGTCAGTCAGTCAGTCCTCCTCCACCCGATCTCTTCCTCCTCCCGATCTCTCTTCCTTCTCCCGATCTCTCCTCCTCCTCCTCCTCCTCCTCCTCCTCCTCCTCCTCCTCCTCCTCCGCCTCCTCCTCCCCCTCCCCCTCCCCCTCCCCCTCCTCCCCTCCTCCTTCGTCCTCCTCCTCATCCTCCTCCTCCTCCTTCTCCTCCTCCTCCTCTCCCTACTCCTCCTCCTCCTCCTCTCCTCCTCCTCCTCCCCTTTTTCCCCCACCACTTTTTCTTTTTTTTCCCCCTCCCCCCCCACCCCCTCCCCCCTTCCATCTCTCCTCTCCTCATCTCCTCCTCCTCCTCCTCCCCCCCCTCTCCTCCTCTCCTCCTCCTCCTACCTCCTCTGACCCCTCCTCCCTAGCACTCCTCCTCCCCCCTCCTCCTCCTCCTCCCTCCTCCTCTCCTCCTCATCACTCCTCTCCTCTCCTCACTCCTCGTCCTCCCCCCCCTCCTCGGGCTGGAATCGGGAGAGGCCGCCGAGGCACGGGTTACGCGCGCCTGCGTGCCGGTCCTCGATTTGGTGCGGCGCCGGAAGCAGGCACGGGCGCAGGCAGAGCAGGCGGGCCCCGTGGCGCCGGCCCCAGGCGGGGAGGAGGAGGGGGGGAGGGGAGGGGGAGGGGGGAGGGGGAGGGGGAGGGGGAGGGGGAGGGGGAGGGGAGGGAGGAGGAGGAGGAGGAGGAGGAGGAGGAGGAGGAGGAGGAGGAGGAGGAGGAGGAGGAGGAGGAGGAGGAGGAGGAGGAGGAGGAGGAGGAGGAGGAGGAGGAGGAGAGGAGTAGGATGGAGAGGAGGAGGAGGAGGAGGAGGAGAGGAGAGGAGAGGAGGGAGGAGAGGAGGAGGAGGAGGAGGAGGAGGAGGAGGAGGAGGAGGCGGATGGAGGGAGGAAGGAGGAGGGGGGAAGGAGGAGGAGGAGGAGGCAGGAGGAGGAGGAGAGAGGACGAGAGGGGACGAGGAGGAGGAGGAGGAGGAGGAGGATGAGGAGGAGGAGGGAGGAGGAGGAGGAGGAGATGAGGAGGAGGCGGAGGAGGAGCGGAGGAGGAGGCGGAGGGAGGAGGAGGAGGAGGAGGCGTGAGGAGGAGGAGGAGGAGGAGGAGGAGGAGGGGGAGGAGGAGGAGGAGAAAGAGGAGGAGGAAAAGGAGGAGGAGAGATCGGGAGGAGGAAGAGAGATCGGGAGGAGGAAGAGATCGGGTGGAGGAGGAGGAGGAGGAGGCGCCGGATGATGATGCAGATGATGATGATGCTGTTGCTGATGATGCTGATAATGATGTCGATTATGATGGTGAGGCTGATAATGGTGGTTGTGGTGATGGTTCTGATGATGATGAATGTGATGGCGATGGTTATGGTGATGGTGATACTGATGATGCTGACGATGACGATGATGTTGATGATGATGATGATGATGCTGATGATGATGATGATGAGGATGCTATTGATTCTGATGATGATGGTGCTGCGGCTGCTGATCATGATGACGGTGATGCTGATTGTGCTGCTGATGATGATACTTTCGATGACGCTGATGCTGCTGCTGATGATGATGCTGATGATGATGCTGATGACGCTGATGCTGATGATCATGATGCTGCTGATGCTGATGATGATGATGACGAGGATGGGGATGATAATACTGCTGATGGTGATGCTGATGCTCATGATGATACTGATATTGATGGTGATGATGATGATGATGATGATGATGATGATGATGATGATGATGATGATGATGGTCATGTCGATGGTGATGACGATGATGATGCTGATGATGCTGTTGAGGATGATGATGATGCTGATTGTGATGATGATGATGATGACGGTTGTGCTTCTGCCGATGATGATAGGGATGCTGATGCTGATGCTGATGGTGATGATGAATACGATGATGATGAATCCCATGATGATGATGATGATGATGATGATGATGATGATGATGATGGTGGTGGTGGTGGTGGTGGTGATGATGATGATGATGATGCTGATGATGATGATGATGATGATGATGTTCATGATGATGATGATGATGATGATGATGATGATGATGATCATGATGATCATGATGATGATGATGATGATGATGATGATGATGATGATGATGATGATGGTGGTGGTTGATGATGAAGGTGATGATGCTGATGATATTGATTTATGATGAGATGGATGATGATGATGATGATTGATTTGGGAGATGATGATGATTGATGATGGTGGTGATGATGCTGATGGCGATGATGATGATCGCTGATGATTGATGCTGATGATGCTGATGATGCTGATGATGCGATGCTGATGCTGATGCTGGATGCTGCTGCTGCTGCTGCTTGCTGATGATGATGATGAGATTGATGATGTTGTTGTTGTTGTTGTTGCTGATGTATGCTAATACTAAACAAAGGCTGCCTGCTGCTGCTGCTGCGATGATGATGATGAGGGATGATGATGATGATGATGGTGGTGGTGGTGGTGGTGGTGTTGTGGTGGTGGTGGTGGTGGTGACTTGTAGTGGTGAGTGGCGTGTCGCTGATGAACAGGGAGGAGGAGAGGAGGAGGAGGAGGAGGTAGGAGGAGGAGGAGGAGGAGGAGGAGGAGGGGAGGAGGGAGGAGAAGGACTCCCCCCCCTCTTCCCCCCCCCCTCCCCGCGGCGAGGGTCCGGCCGTCGCGGCTCGCGACTAGGCTGGCCGCGCCCGTGCTGTCGGCGAGGGATGCGGAGAGCCTGCTGAGCCACCCGGGGGCGCGCCCGCGACAGCGGCTTCCGTCGTGAGCGTGTCGAGGATCGAGGTCTTCCGTCTTAGGAGTCCGATGTCCAGCGCCTGCTTCTGCTTCTGAAGAGTAGCAGCCAGAGACGCACATGGCTGGAAATGTGTAACAGGAGATTGTCTTCACCACAGGAGCGTCTGCTAGTTTTCACCCGCCCGTGCCCTAAGCGGCCGCCCCTTCGCGGGCCCGCAGGCTTGGCCCTGAGCTTGACCTTGACCTTGGACGTCTTCCTCGGTCTTGCGGCTGGCTTCCAGCCTCGGGTGCCCTCCAGCAGCTGCGCCTCGCCGAGGGCATGACGTGAGTGTGAGTGTGTATGTGTGTGTGTGTGTGCGTGTGTGTGTGTGTGTGTTTGTGTGGCTGCCTCCCGCCCTCTGCCTCTCCTGCCCCCCCTGGCCCCGGGTGGCGGCGGCTCCGGCGCTGCACCGCGGCTTTACGCATCCGTCTACTCGGGCGGCACGTCCGCCTGCGCGGCCGTTCTCTCTCTCTCTCTCTCTCTCTCCCGCCAGCCATACTTTACCAGCCTCGAACTTATCCCTATCCCTAAGATTGACTCGCCAAAAGGCGATGACAGTCTTAGGGATGCGCCCTCAAAAATTGAGGGAATCCCTAATATTGGCATCGTGATGAGGAGATTCCCAGCATATGGATAGGGATATGTTCCAGGCTGGTAAATACCCGGTTGGCTGTGCCTTCATGGCGGCGGCTCGCTTGATCCTCGCGTGGGTCGTCCCGCGGTGGGCAGCGCTCCTCTTTCTCGCCGTTCTCGCCCAGACGGCCATGGCCTGCGCTGCTATGGCTGCTAGCGCGGCGATCCAAAGCGATCCTGCTTGAGGGCCCAGTCGAGCGCGCCCGCCCGGTTGCTTGCACTCACTCCGCATCGTCGCTGCGCGCGAGGCCGCTACCGCTCAAAAGTGTGTGTGTGTTGTGTGTGTTGTGTGTGTGTGTGTGTTGTGTGTGGTGTGTGTGTGTGTCTGTGTGTGTGTGTGTGTGTGGTGTGTGTGTGTGTGTGTGTGTGTCTGTTTGGCTGCGTCCGCTGGCCCGGCCCGCGTGCTCCGCTTTTTTTTACTTACGCTTCGTCATTGCGCCCGCGGCCGCGACGTAAAAACAAGCAAGTGCGTGTGTGTGTGTGTGCTAATCGTCCCTGGCGGCTGCTGTAGACCCGAGTTATGGCCCGAGGGGCAGGCGACGGGGAGGGAGGCGTGTTCACATCCATGGCCTCGCGGTCTGGACTCTGGTGCCGTGGTCTCGCGAGTGTGTTTGTCCAAGGGATCATGCATCTGTGGGATCGTGCATCGGCGTCCAGTTCGCGAGGGCATGCATGTGAGTATTCTCGTCGCCCGTGAGTTGTGGAGTGGAGTCCTCGTTGGGACTTACCCCAAGGGGAGACAGGAAGATTTGT